TAGGTGCGTTCCAATAAGTCTTCCTACAAATATGACCATGTTGCGAAAACAAGGTCAAACAACCTCTATAAAGTGATTCGGTTAGTTACGGTCATATGTCAAATTCGAAACCTGTGTGTGTGTTTGTCTGTGTATGTGTATGTGCCTGTTTGTGTTCGCTTATGCACGAGACCCGAAGTGATGGCTCAAAGTAATTAGGACAGCAAAAAGGAACGTCTGTTTTTGACCATCAAGGTTTGCTGACCCTTATTTCCTCTCTCGAAACCCAACTTTTCTTCGCATATATTCAGAAACAGTGTCTGTAGTAAGAAGTAGACTGGGGCTGGAACCGAGTGAAATCGATCAAGCAGAAAGATAAGAAATGGATCTACGGGATCATTAAGGAGATCCGGATAGAAGGCCCAAGTCAGATCAGCCAATCGACATAGAGGGGGCAAGGAATAACAACAGGTTTGATGACGCCACACTAAACTTGCCAAAAACGGCACGCCTCTAGGGGAGTAGAATGAATGTAAACAAGTCTGAAGTTGTGATATGGCAAGAGTGTGATAAGAGGGTAAGGAAAAGATACAGGGGCAAGGACAGAAAGGGTAGTATTAGTGCAACCGTTTCGACAGAATGTTGGTAGAGGGATTGAATTCTCTTGGTGGTGAGACTGGCAAGAAGCACCGATGCTGCCAACTACGATGCCGGCGAAACGTCTGAGAATTCACCAAGTCCATTGTCTGATTGCGGGGAATCATGACAGCTACTATGGCAGAGGAGTTTGGACAAGATTCGCTCAACTAAGTTGCCCTGACAACAAGACCAAGTAGCGAAAACGAAGTCAACCCACTTCTATGGGCTGTTTAGCCTAAATATCTATTTGCAATACGTAGTTATTAAAACAAAACATGTGCGGCATGCTAAGTAAAAGAGGTGCCGTTGAGTTCCTCGAACGAAGCTTATTCTGAAGTAAATGGGAGAATAAAAAAGTGATATGAAGAGGGATGGAGAAAATGAAATGAATGAAATTCAATGGAAAAGTCAGCTCAACTCATATGATTGTGGGAAAATTCTTCTTCTACCAGACCTTCATCACCTTAGACGAAATTGGGTGAATACATCTCATATTACTGATTTACTGGTATTCTCGAAACTCTACTCTAATACGAAAAAAGGTGAATAAGGCTAGAAACGTGTGACCAATCGGTTGAGTAGAAAAGAGGGAAACTCAGCTCTGGTTGTGTGAATGCATACTTGACGCTTTGGTGGAGGCATGTGAAATAAAGATGAAGCATAGGCATATTCGTATTCTGGTCCCTCAAGATGTGGACAATTATAGAAAAAAAAGTCGTTCCATCAGGTCCTTTAACTTGACTTCCGAGAAGCCAAGGCAACGATTCTCGAGAAGTTTA